GGGGGAGAGGAGAGGGAGGAGGGGGGCAAAGGGAGACGGGGAGGGAAATGGGAGGAGGAGAGGAGGCGGAAATTTTTTTTCAATAAAAAATTATATTTAAAAAAAAAGATTGTCCCAAGAACCTCAACGCCCCAATACAGTGGGAAGTAGTCTAATGAAAACATTTCCCCCTTTCTAGTCCCCCAGTTGTTTATTAACAAACAAAAAAGGAGGGAATGTAGGGTAAAATGGCCTAATGGAACAGGAAGCGAACCAATCACTGATCACCAAGAGCCAGTGAAAGAAAAACACCTTGGATCTGAGACTGGAGCCAGGGAAAGAAACATCTTTATCTCTGAACCCAGGACCCAAAGAAACATGCCCTGACTCTAAAACCAGTACCAAAGAAACACACTTTGTCCCTAGAATTTGAGCCAGTGAAAGAAATATGTCCTAGTCTCAGTGAAAGAAACACAGTTTGGCCATGAAATCTGAGCCATCTCTGCTCCTGACCAACTAAACTAACTAATCCCTGAGAAGGAAAAACTAACCAATCCCTAGCCTCCCTGGGAAAGCTTCACCCCTAAGAAGCCCTATATAAACTTCTCTGTCCATTCAGTTCAAAGTTCCCTTTTACCCCCACCCTGGCAAAGGCAGCCACTCTCCTGGACTCATCCTTCCTAAATAAATCTCTTTCTTGGGTGATGGTCTTCATTTGCCAATACAGAATAGAAGAACCTGGCTGGGGCGTCCCTTAGGAGACTGAACTGAAAAACTTTGCTGAGATGCTTCCTTGTGGGGACTGAACAAGGCTGAGCAGAACAGAACAGAAGAACCTTGCTGGAATGCTCCCTAAGGGGTTGAGGGTGGGGGGGCTGAGCAAGGCTGAACAGAAAAAATAACAAGTTTTCTCTAGAGCCGGAAAAGATTGCTACATATCTGCCAGGGGCTTCCCCTTTAGCAGAATGTTAGCAAAAGAAGTAACATCTTGGGCCAGAGAAGAACCAGATAGCTCTGATAGGACATTCTCTTAAGAGAACAGAGCAGACCTCAGCTGTAGGGGATCTCCAGGAGAAGAACCGGATTGCTATATCCTGCGGGGAGACCATCCCTCACCACACCCCAGCTTTAGGTTGCCTGGCTTCCTTATAAATCAGAGCACCTTTCCTCCAGAGCTGAGCTGTCCTGTTGCGGCTCTACCCTACAGAGCTGTACTATTCTGGCTCTAAGTATAGCCTGGGTCCCCCCCCCCCCCCCCCCCCCCGTTAGTCAGGATGTCTTTGTAGCTCCACAGCTGTAACGCACTCCCCTACAATCCTGAGGAAAAACAGCAAAGCTCTTAATGGCTGAACCATCTCTCAAGCCCAAAACAATGTTTTTCATGACAATCTCTCATAACTTAGTACTTATTTAGTGGTTGGGGACAGAAGGAGGTGGGTGTGCTTCTGAAAGGACAATGGAGAGTCCCGCATACTGACCTAATGTAAAGGACAACACAAGAGTCCCGCATGCTGACCTAATGTAAAGGACAACACAAGAGTCCCGCATGCTGACCTAATGTAAAGGACAGTGAAGAGTCCCGCATACTGACCAATGTAAAGGACAACACAAGAGTCCCGCATACTGACCAAATGCAACTTACCTTGAGAATAATGATGGTGAGTACATGAGACAAAATTACTTAGAATGAAGAACACGAAGATAATGTGACTGGGGAAATGTGGACTAAATTAATAAATTTCTGTCAATTTCAGCATCATAATTGTAATAATAAAATGTTGGCATACATCACTAGTGGAAGTTAAATAGAAGGTAATAAGCCTGAACTTATCTCAAATTTTTCAAAATTTACACCTGTCAGAATGGCTAAAATCAAAAACACCAATGATAGCCTTTGCTGGAGAGGTTGTGGAGAAAGGAGTACACTCATCCATTGCTGGTGGGAATGCAAACTTGTGCAACCACTCTGGAAAGCAGTGTGGCGGTTTCTCAGAAAATTCGGGATCAACCTACCCCTGGACCCAGCAATACCACTCTTGGGAATATACCCAAGAGAGGCCTTATCATACAACAAAAGTATATGCTCTACTATGTTCATAGCAGCATTGTTTGTAATAGCCAGAACCTGGAAACAACCTAGATGCCCTTCAATTGAAGAATGGATGAAGAAAGTATGGAATATATACATATTAGAGTACTACTCAGCAGTAAAAAAACAAGGACTTCTTGAAGTTTGCAGGCAAATGGATGGAAATAGAAAACACTATCCTGAGTGAGGTAAGCCAGACCCAAAAAGAGGAACATGGGATGTACTCACTCATATTTGGTTTCTAGCCATAAATAAAGGACATTGAGCCTATAATTCGGGTTCTTAGAGAAGCTAAATAAGAAGGAGAACCCAAAGAAAAACATATAGGCATCCTCCTGAATATTAACCTTCATCAGGCGATGAAAGGAGACAGAGACAGAGACCCACATTGGAGCACCTCTTCTCAGCCCCTTTTTGTCTCCCACTCTCCATTCTCCAGTTCCCCCTCTTCCTCTCTTTGTCCCCTCTCTTTCTCTCTTCTTCCCTCTCCTCTTTCTGTCTCCCTCTACCCACCTCCCTCTTTTCCTACCTCACTTTTCCCATTCTATCTCAACCTAAGGAGTAGAACTAGAGTTTCATAAGGATTTTACAAAACCATGTCTTTACCTACTTCCGATCTAGGAGCGTGACTTTCCTTTTAGCCTAACCAAGACCAACAGTACTAAGAAATCCGTCTGTTATTTCTATTGTAAGGAAGTCTAAGATGATCAAGGGTGGCAAGAAGGAGCAAGCAAGGAGATGACTTCGGGAGTAAAGCACTTGCTGAGCCAGCTTACAGACCCTGCTAGGGATCCCCAGCACCCACAGAAAGACAGGGCATGGTGGCAGGTGCCTGTGGTTCCCAAGCTGTGAGGCTGCCAACATTGCAGAAATGGCAGAGTCCAGATTCCTGTGTGAGGAAGACATACCTCTATCAACCACAGGAGTGCCTGGCAGGAGTGCACGGGGCTCATGGGTAAAATGGGTCTCAGTAGGGTAGATTAACATCTATGTAAAATGACTTTCAGGGAGTTCATACTGCTTTGAAATACCTGACACCCTGCCTGATTTTAGTGAAAATGTAAATAAAGACATCAAGTTGCCCTTTCACCCTCTTGGCTTCACCCACTAAGACCCCTACTGGGACTGAAATTGTACAAGAGGAACTTGGAGCTGTTTCCTCTGGTCCCCCACTGCCCAGCCTCACCCGCGGACCCACACCCACCCACCCACACACACACAAAGCTTAGAAGGCAAGGGACCCGCAAGTTCAGCAGCTCGGGGTCATTAAAGACGAATTAGGAGTGTGGTGGCAGGTCGGCGGGCGTGGGAAATTTGAGACAGCGCAAGTTAAGCAAGCCCAAAGTGGCGGTAAGAGCCAAGCAGGGCATGGACTGAGGCAGGCGGGCAAGGCATGGGTTGCAGGCTCACCTGCGTTCTGCAGCGTCTCGATGTTTTGGGGTCTGGTCGCCAGCTCCGCCACCATCTGCACGAATTGCGTCCGGGCTTTCTGGTACTGCTCGAACACTGAGGAGAGAGACCCGGTGGAGTCTTCCCGTGACCCGCGGCTCCAACGCTCCCGAGTGCCCGCCCGCCCTGATCATACCTTGCAGCACCTGCCGCTGGCTCATGGTGAAGCTGGTCCTCCAGGCGCAGCAGGTCCGCAGGTAACAAGACCACCACTGCACCAGGATCCGTTCCTCTGCGTCTCCGTCTCCAGGGCAACCGACCCAAACCGGATGCAACCGCCAGTCGAGGTCGTGACGTCATGGCCAGGGTGTCGGAGGCTGACACTTTTGAGTACTACTTAGCACCCATCTATGGGCGTGGGTTTTTTCCAGGCCGGCGACTGTCTGGAGAACACGGTCCTTTTTCACACTGACCCAGAGTAGCTGGTGTCACGCCTATAGATGCGAGCGCTGGAGTGTCGGGAGAAAACTGTAACCGGACTGTCAAGAATAACCAAACACGTAAATCACGTATAATATGATCGATACCATATTGTCAAAGCATCCTTAACTCAGTGTTTTCTTTTTAGTGTATACCTGGTACATATGACAGTTTTTATTTCCGGATCTCTGGAGGCTCACAACAACCAAATATTTAATTACACTTCAGATAGCAAGTAAGCAGTCCGTTCGAGAGATTCATTGGGGAAAACAGAAGAGCAAATGACGTAATTAATGTCCAACAGTCCATGGTGGGGAAAATATATCTTGAGCTTAAAGAAACCCAGTTTCTTCTTCTTCTTACTTATTAAAAAATTATTCTTTGAAAGTTTTATATATGTATAAATGTAATGATTTATAAGTCATATACAGTAGTGCCTCACACAATGTCTCAAACTGGCCCTGTAGGAATAAGATCAATTACAAATATACTTCAAGTTAAAGGTCCTTTTAAACAAAAGAGATGTTTGCATTCTCACACAGTAGAACAACTTTGTGGGTTTGCTTGCTTGCTTGCTTGCTTGCTTGCTTGCTTGCTTGCTTACTTGTTAGTTTGAGACAGGGTCTCACTACATAGTCCTGGCTGTTCTGGTATTCACTGCATAGGCCAGGCTGTCCTTGAACTCACAGAGATCTGCCTCCCAAGTCCCACCATGTCCAGCTAAGCAGGACAACTCTTTTTTTTTTTTTAAATTAAAAATTTCCACCTCCTGCCCTCCTCCCATTTCCCTCTCACTCTCCCCACTCCCCCTCCCCCTCCCTCTACAGTCCTAAGAGCAGCCAGGGTTCCCTGCCCTGTGGAAAGTCCAAAGTCCTCCTTCTTCCGTCCAAGTCTAAGAAGGTGAGCATCCAAACAAACTAGGCTCCCACAAAGCCAGTCCATGCAGTAGAATCAAAACCCAGTGCCATTATCCTTGGCTTCTCAGTCAACCCTCATTGTCAGCCATATTCAGAGAGTCCGGTTTGATCCCATGCTCCATCAGTCCCAGTCCAGCTGGCCTTGGTGATCTCCCATTAGATCTGTCCCACAGTCTCAGTGGGTGGGTGCACCCCTCGTGGTCCTGACTTCCTTGCTCATGTTCTCCCTCCTTCTGCTCCTCATTTGGACCTTGGGAGCTCAGTCCAGTGCTCCAGTGTGGGAGCAGGACAACTCTTAATTGAGAAAGTCTCCAGTTTCTTTTGACAGAGTGTGTGCACTACACTTAGTCTGTCTACTGCTGGTTTCTAGCTTCTCTTTGAAAACTGTATACCAAATAGTTCAGTAATGTGTCTAAATATCTCTCCATCTGAAACACCAACTTTACCAGATGTCAATGTGGGCAGATAGCAATCTGCAGAGTTGTGGCAAGACAGGAAACTCCCAGCCATCCTAATGTCTAATAGAGGGAGCATATTTGTTCATCTGGTTCTTGTCCTTGGAATCTTCTCCAATAATTTTCCAGATCTCACCCAATCTGGGCTTTCTTGATGAAGTGCTAGTATTTAACGCTGCTCCAAAAGTAGTTGGGAACTAGTGTAAGCTCTGAAGGGCAAGGCTTTACCAAAGGGAGTGTGATAGCACTGAGGGGAAAGGCTTCCCCAAGAGGAAGTGTTACAGCTCTGCTGGAGGAGAGGAGGTTTCTCCACTGCAAGTGTTACAGCTCTGAAGGGAAAGGTATCCTGGCAGTTGGGAGCCAAGCCACAAAGCCACACAGCACAACAAAAGTCACACAAGAAACTTATTGGGAGGGAAGACCCCAGGAGGGTGGCTGCCTCTGCTCAGGTGACAAACAGCAGAGAATGAGCAGAAGATAGGGTTATGTAGCATTTCTTGGGGGAGGAGTGGAGCTTTCCAAGAGGGACTGGTGAGATTTTAAGTCCTGTGTTTGGGCAAACCCAGGGATTGATGGGATTTCCTCAGGGCTTGGTGAGTTTTCAAGTCTTTTGGGTGTAGCTGTTATAGTAGTTAGTGTTCTGTGGGTAGAGCCTGGCAGTTGGAGGTCCTCAGGGGAAGAGGGCCTGGCCACTTGCGAGCCTCAATGGGTTTACATTCACATCAAAAAGATCACTCACCATGATCAAGTGGGCTTCATCCCAGAGATTCAAAGAAAAAACCTACATGATCATCTCATTAAATTCAAAAAGCATTTAATAAAAATCAAACATCCTTTTATGATAAAAAAAAAAGTCCTGGAGTGACTAAAAATACAAAGCATATATCTGAACATAATAAAGGTAATATACACCAATCCTACTGCCAACATCATCCTAAATGGGCAAAAATTAAAAAGAATTTCCATTAAAATCAGGAATAAGACAAGTCTATCTACTCTCTCCATATCTATTCAATATAGTACTTGAAGTTGTAACTAGTGCAATAAAACAACTAAAGGAGATAAAGGGGCTACAGATTGGAGAAGAAGAAGTCAAAATATCATTATTTGCAGATGATATGATGGTATACATAAGAAACCTCAAAAATTCTACCAGGAAACTCCTACAGCTGATAAACACCTTCAGTAATGTAGCGGTTACAAGATTAACTCAAAAAATCAGTATCCCTCCTATATACAAATGACAAAAAGACTGAGAAAGAAATCAGGGAAACAACACCCTTCACAGCAGCCACAAATAATATAAAATATCTTGGTGTAGATCTAACCAAGCAAGTGAAAAACCTGTATAATAACAACTTTAAGTATTTGAAGAAAAAAATAGAAGATAGAAAGTTCTCCCATGCTCATGGATTGGTAGATTAACATTTTCTGTTACACAGAGAAACCCTGTCTCAAAAAAATGGCCATCTTACCAAAAGCAATACACAGATTTAGTGCAATCCCCATCAAAATTCCAACACCATTCTTTACAGACCTTGAAAGCACAACTTTCAATTTCATAAACAAAAAAACCCAAGATAGTTAAAATAATCCTGATCAATAAAAGACTTTCCATAGATATCACCATCCCTCATTTCAAGCTCTAACAGAGCTATAGCAATAAAAACCACATGGTATAGACATAAAAACAGACACTTTGACCAGTGGAATCAAATCAAAGACCCAGACATAAATCTTCATACCTCAGGATAAAGAAATCAGACATGCATAATGGAAAAAAAAGAAAACATCTTCAACAAATGGTGATGGTCTAACTGGATTTTGCATGTAGAAAATTGCAAATAGATCCATATTTATCACCCTGCACAAAACTTAAGTCCAGCCGGGTGGTAGTGGTGCATGCCTTTAATCACAGCAGTTGGGCAAAAGGCAGATCTCTGTGAGTTTGAGGCCAACCTGGTCTACAAAGAGAGCTTCAGAACAGCCAGGGCTGTTACACGGAGAAATCCTGTCTCCAAAAAAAAAAAAACANAAAAAAAAAAAAAAAAAAAAAAAAAAAAAAAACAAAAAACAAAAAAAAAAAAAAAACAAACCTCAAGTCCAAGTGGATCAAGGACATCGACATAAAACCAGACACACTGAACCTGATAGAAGAGAAAGTAGGGAATCACCTTGGCACAGGAGAAAATTTTCTGAACAGAACACCATCGTGCAGGCATTGAGATCAGCCATTAATAAATGGGACCTCATGAGCCTGAAAAGTTTCTGTAAGGCAAAAGACACAGGCACTATACCAAAATGGCAGCCTATAGAATAGGAAAAGATTTTCACCAACTCCACATCTGATAGGGGGCTAATATTCAAAATATATAAATAACTCAAGAAACTAGGCATCAACAAACCAAATAATCCAATTAAAAAGTGGGGTACAGATCTAAATAGAGAACTTTCAATAGAGGAATCGCAAATGGCCAAGAGACATTTAAAGAAATGCTCAACATCCTTAGCCATCAGGGAAATGTAAATCAAAATTACTTTAAGAGTCCATCTTACACCTGTCAGAATGACTAAGATCCAAAACACAAATGACAGCTCATGCTGGTGAGGATGTGGAACAAGAACACTCCTCCATTTCTAGTGAGATTGCAAATTTTTACAGCCACTATGGAAATTAATAGGATGGTTCCTCTAAAAATTGGAAATCAATCTACCTCAAGACCCCAAAAGAAGTTCCATCCTACCACAAGGACACTTGCTCAACTATATTCAAAGTGATTTTATTCATAACAGTCAAAATCCGGAAACAACTAGATATCTCTCAGCTGAAATGGGTAAGGAAAATGTAGTACATATACACAATGGAGTGTTACTAAGATATTTTTTAAAAATTACATCATGAACTTTGCAGGTAAATGGATGGAACTAGAAAAACTAATCCTGAGTGAGGTAACCCAGACCCAGAAAGACAAACATAATATATATTCTCTTATAAGTGCTTATATGATGTAAGTAAAGAACAATCATACCACAATCCACACACCCAGAGAGGCTCAGTAACAAGAAGGACAGGGATGCATAGCTCTTCCTGAGAAGGGAAATAGAATAGATTTTGCAGTGAACTGGGAGCAGATGGGGATAGGATTAGGTGGGGGAGAGAGGGAGAGAATACAGGGAGAGGTGACTGAAATTGGGGGTCATTTGGAGGGTGATGTGGAAACCTAGTGCAGTAGAAACTCCCAGAATTCTGTGAGGGTGACCCTAGCAAGAACTCCTGGCAATGGGGGATATGGAGCCTGAACTGCCCATCTTCTGTAACCAAGCAACTTCCAGTGGTGAGACTGAGACACCAACCTAGCCACAAAATCCTCAACCTACAAAAGTCTAGCCTGCAAGATGTGCTGGGCAGTGGTGACTCAGAGCTTGTGGGAGTACAAACCAATGACTGGTCC